ACGTAACCTCTCCAAAAGGTTGGGGACCCCTGCTCTAGGTGGATAACCAAATCTGTGGGGCTCTTTATCCATTTACCCAAACTTGTTCTGCTCTCTCTTTATGAATGGGATCCATCTGGCTGAGGCAAAGGCTCTCTTCATTTCAGCAAGGCAGCTGCATCGACAACGCTGCCTTTGTTTGTCCATGAAAGATTTCACGTTTGTAATTGGATCAATTATAACCAGTAATACTAATAGAAATGATAGCAGGAGTCACAACGGTGTGTAATATGTCTGGTTCCTTTGCCTGGCATAAGCACACGCAGGATTGCAGCTTTCGTCTTTACGAGGCTTCAGTGTGTATTTTTCTCCTGCATTTGGAAGATCATTAAATCTCCACCCGATCTTTTCTTTAATCAAGCAAATTCTATCACTGGCCACCACATGTTGCTTTGGGAAGTGATTACGAGGTTCTTGCAGACCAATTTAAGGGAATTAGAAAACAACTCATAAAACAGAACAGTTGGCAAAAGGTCCCTGCCGGTCAGCACTTTTTGGGGCCAGTGGGTAATTATACCGTAAATTTCCTACAAGCTGTCATAAGCGCGTCAAGAAATTATCCATATTAAAACGCTATAAAGCCGACACCTTCAGCCGTTAAGAGCGTGCCATTTCTGAGACGCGGGAGGAAGCGCACGCATGAGAAAATTCTAAAACCGGGGACGGAATCCAGATGAAGTGAAGTCCTTCCAAGGGGAAAATGTTACACTTCGGTTTTATGTAAGACCAAATATGAGTCACATTCCTAGCCCTCTGTGGATGTGGAATTCAGATCATGGGTCCCTTTGGTTTGTGAAGTTTCAGCAGAAACTGGGCTGTTCTCTAACAAGGATGCTTTTGTTCTAGTGATGCTGTGTGCTTTCTGCCTTCAGACTTTTTAAATCCTACAATTCTAGCCCTCAGCAACACAGCGGAGGACTGCTGCTAACAGACCTGCTTATGGCAACCCCTTCCTTTGAAAAGGGGAGCAGACTGGATCCAGTGCTCAAGGATCTTAATGTCCACCTCCAGCTAGAATATCCAAATAAAAGTCCAGGATTACTTTCATTTCTGAAAATCTTACTGGTTTATTGAATACTTGGCATGATGTAGGTGAAGGGAAACTAACCCTAAAATCCCAAGGCATCTAACCATAGCATATAACAATGACATTCCCAATCAAAGACCCCCCCCCAGATGTCCACGTAGCTCCCGTAAATCATTTCTCTTTGTTATGAGAACCGTCTGCTATCTTCTTCACACCTGCTAGAACGTCCTTGAAAAAGTTCCAGACAGTTTTCTCTCAAAAAAAAAACTGAAGAGGTTTCGTTTCTCTAACTCACCCACTCGAAAGCATTTCACACACACACTCACCCCACTTACTCTAATGGCAAGGCACATGGCTGCCAAATTTTCACTCTTGACACTTGAGCAAAAAAAGGTAAAGGTTTCCCTGTCCGTCAAGTGTCTGACTCTAGGGCACGGTGCTCATCTCCATTTCTTAGCTGAGAGAGCCAGCGTTGTCCGAAGACATTTTCCGGGGTCATGTGGCCAGCACGGCTATAGGCCAAGGCGCACGGAATGCTGTTACCTTCCCACCAAAGTGGTACCTATTTATCTACTCGCATTTGCATGCTTTCGAACTGCTGAGTTGGCAGGAACTGGAGCAAGGAACGGGAGCTCGCCCAGTCGTGAGGTGCTTGGGTCTCAAACCTGGGTGCTGGCTTTTCAGCTGAAAGCTCAGCACCTTTAGCCACTGAGCCATCGCGCCCCCTGGACCCTAAGCAGCTGGTCATAAATGCTTGTTGCGTTGAAGGAACACTGGAAAGAAACTGTTACCCTTCCATTCGGGGTTGAGACCTTCCCAAATGCATTCAGTTGGTCAATGGGAGATGAATCTGGAGCCTGATCTATCTGCATTCTTCTTAGCCTACTTCCCAAACTGGCATCCTGTAACTAAACACGGGCCACCCCTGGGATTGAGTTGACAATGTGTTTTGCTCATTTATGACCCTGAACCTCTGCCTTTGGAACAGAGACCGTTTGCCAGAGAAGGAGAATGTCCCTCATTAGACTTACCCACAGAGCAAACATCTGTGAAGTGATCTTCTCCTTCTTCAGCATGGATTAAATCATTTTTGCTTTTCTTTATCGTCGCTCTTTTTAGCACTAGATACCAAAAGTGGGGAAGGGGGGCAGAAAAGGGGAGAAATAGGCAATAAACGACAGGGCCATTAGCTTTCAGCAGAGACTCAAACTTCTTCAACTTTCTGCAGCTCTGAGACTCAAATTGCTTTCCATCTGAAGGATGGCTTCAAAGCATCCATAGACCAATCACTTGACAGCCTAGCAACCCCTCAAGAGTTCGTTTTTTCCATCCTTTCCTGGCAAAGACCATTATTTATTTAGCCTTCCAGCTAAGCACAGCTTCCTTCAACCATCTCTGAACATCTTCAAAGCAATCAAAACAGGGGCCGAGGATGGATGTTGGTGAAGCTGCAACTCATAACTACTTTTTTTCCCCCATAGTGGCCTTACATCAGAATCAAGCAAAGCCAAGGAAAAGTCTCCCTGTTGTGCTATTAAAATCATAATTTTGCTGCTTTCCAATGGACCGTGATCGGGAGGTGCCCGCTCCACGATTTCAGCATTGAACATAATTTGACATAATGTCCCAAAACAACGCTGTTCACCAAGAATGCTGTCCCAGTCTTGATTCTCAAGTGTTTTTGTGCCTCCAGTTCTCAAGGACCAATAATTTAGCCAATGAGAAGGGGTCTTTAAAAAAAAAACCCTCCAAAATCACTGGTGTCATATATCAATGTTCCCATTCCAAATAACACTAGATTAGATGTTAGCCTTAAGGCGGTAAACAGTATGATGATAACAAAAGCTAGCTTGATGACTTTGGGGAAGTCATTTTCTCTCTCAGCCCATCGTATCTCCATGGGATTTTGCTGTGGGAAAATGGGAAAAAGGAACATTTTATCCACTATGTTGAGCTGCTGAACCAAAGGCGGGATATCAATAGAACAACTCAACATAGTGAGGGGTCCTTGGTCCTCTCTGAGCTGGTTTGTTTCCTTGCAGACATTTCGTGACCCATTTCATTTCATTTCAGCCCTGAGCTACAAATATTCTCCTTTTATCGGAAATAAAAAAAAAAAAATTTGAATCAATCTGTGTGAACTCTCATTCTATAAGCCAGGGGTCTTCAAACTTGACCCTTTTATGAGTTGTGGACTTCAACTCCCAGAATTCCTCAGCCAGCGTGCCTGGCTGAGGAATTCTGGGAGTTGAAGTCCACAAGTCATCAAAGGGCCAAGTTGGAAGACCCCTGCTATAAGTGAAAGGCAGATTCTGAGCTGTTCGTGGTGCTGAAATATTTTTCTGTTCTTACTTCTAAGTTCGGTTTCTGTATCTATCCTGCCATTTGTATTAAAATAGGGGTCTTCCAACTTGGCCCCTTTATGACTTGTGGACTTCAACTCCCAGAATTCCTCAGCCAGCATGCCTAAAAGCTATAGAGTCAACATACAAGGAGAGAAATGCATAGCCAGGAGACTCACCATCCAAGGGAGATTTCTCTTCAGCGTTCTTGTCTTCTTCTGCTAACATCACCTCCTCTGAAAACACAGAAAGAACCTTGCTTAGCCTTGTATCACTTGGGGACACGAGAGAGAATCACAGCACCTCTAAACACGTTATAATCAACAATGGGGATACTTTAGAGAAAAGTCTTCGAACTGAGTTGGTTGACACATTTCAGGTTTCTGGAACTTATTTGTTTTTAAATATTCTGAGAATCCCCGTAGACAAATATTCTGAGATTTATCAAATAGAACCTGGAGAGGGAAGGGAGAGGAAGGGGAGGGAAGGGAAGGGAAGGGAGAAGGGAATGGAATGGAATGGAGAAAGGGAAGGGAAGGGAAGGGAAGGGAAGGAAAAGAAAGGAAAGGAAAGGAAAAGGAAAGGAAAGGGATAGATCTCAAACCAAAGGTCACTTACGATGTTTCCACACTCTTAATTATGGGGTCCTATTCTTGTCTCCACAATTTGTTAATTTAAAAATGTATAGGTTAATATCAATTCAACAAGAAGCTCAACACGGCTATAAAATAAAATCGTCAAAGAAAAACGGGAAAGACGTAGTAAAAGGATAGTAAAAGACCGTCCGTATTTTTTTTAAAATCCATCGGTGAAAATGGTGTAACTTTAACCGTTGTTAGGGTAGAGATTGGAGTAAAACCTTCTTGCACATTCTTCCTGATTGGACTAAAGACGCCCCTCGGGGGAAAAGCCACATTCATTCTGCCTTTCCCTGTTGCAGACTGAACTCATTAATGTGCAGGTCAGTGTGTCTATCTCAACAGCTAAGCAACGCCAAAAATAATAATAATAATAATAAAATAACAAGCTAACAAAAAGTAGCTGGTGTTGATTGTTCTAATTTTCTTCTCTCCGTTTTTCTTTTCTTTTTTGGCTTGACCGGTTAAGGAAAAAAATAAAGAAAATAGTCATCACTTCTGGAGAGACACCCCTGGTAATAGACAGGAATTATTTGGCAACAGCAAGACAAGGAAATAGCAAACATGTTGCCTGCTGTTTGTAATCATCTGGCTCCTGTTAAAAAATTAATAAGGATTTGACAGCAGAGACCAACCTTAAGGCATGCAAATATTTCCGTGCGTAAGAGGGACAGGCCGTGAATTAACTCTCAAGTTGTTTACATACCCAGCCTCGTCTCTTCTTGACTCTTCGTATTTGTTATATTCATGAGCATCCCTTTCATAAAACAAACCATTCAGACACATGCGGTAGGATCCAAAGCTGGCCGAGGGGAATATGTTTATAAGTTGCTTATGGGAAGAGGCAAAATGTGGGGGAAGGTAGCAGCAGGCTAATTATAAAAAAGATGTTGAGACTCTGGAAAGAGTGCAGAGAAGAGCAACAAAGATGATTAGGGGACTGGAGGCTAAAACATACGAAGAACGGTTGCGGGAATTGGGTGTGTCTAGTTTAATGGAAAAAAGAAGGACTAGGGGGGACATAATAGTAGTATTCCAATATCTCCGGGACTGCCCCAAAGAAGAGCGAGTCAAGCTGTTCTCCAAAGCACCAGAAGAAGGCAGGACAAGAAGCAATGGATGGAAAATGATCAAGGAGAGAAGCAACCTGGAACTAAGGAGAAATTTCCTGACAGAACAATTAACCAGTGGAACAACCTGCCTGCAGAAGTGGTGGGTGCAATNGGAAAGGAAAGGAAAGGAAAGGAAAGGAGAGGAGAGGAGAGGAGAGGAGAGGAGAGGAAGGGAAGGGAAGGGAAGGGAGAAGGAAAGGGAGGAGGGAATGGAATGGAAGGGAATGGAAGGGAAGGGAAGGAAAGGGAAGGAAAGGAAAGGAAAGGGAAGGGAAGGAAAGGAAAGGAAAGGAAAGGAAAGGAAAGGAAAGGAAAGGAAAGGAAAGGAGAGGAAGGGAAGGGAAGGGAGAAGGAAAGGGAGGAGGGAATGGAATGGAATGGAATGGAAGGGAAGGGAAGGGAAGGGAAGGAAAGGGAAGGGAAGGAAAGGAAAGGAAAGGAAAGGAAAGGAAAGGGATAGATCTCAAACCAAAGGTCACTTACGATGCTTCCACACTCTTAATTATGGGGTCCTATTCTTGTCTCCACAATTTGTTAATTTAAAAATGTATAGGTTAATATCAATTCATCCAGAAGCTCAACACGGCTATAAAATAAAATCATCAAAGAAAAACGGGAAAGACGTAGTAAAAGGATAGTAAAAGACCGTCCGTATTTTTTTTTAAATCCATCGGTGAAAATGGTGTAACTTTAACCGTTGTTAGGGTAGAGATTGGAGTAAAACCTTCTTGCACATTCTTCCTGATTGGACTAAAGACGCCCCTCGGGGGGAAAAGCCACATTCATTCTGCCTTTCCCTGTTGCAGACTGAACTCATTAATGTGCAGGTCAGTGTGTCTATCTCAACAGCTAAGCAACGCCAAAAATAATAATAATAATAAAATAACAAGCTAACAAAAAGTAGCTGGTGTTGATTGTTCTGGTTTTCTTCTCTCTGTTTTTCTTTTCTTTTTTGGCTTGACCGGTTAAGAAAAAAAATAAAGAAAATAGTCATCACTTCTGGAGAGACACCCCTGGTAATAGACAGGAATTATTTGGCAACAGCAAGACAAGGAAATAGCAAACATGTTGCCTGCTGTTTGTAATCATCTGGCTCCTGTTAAAAAATTAATAAGGATTTGACAGCAGAGACCAACCTTAAGGCATGCAAATATTTCTGTGCGTAAGAGGGACAGGCCGTGAATTAACTCTCAAGTTGTTTACATACCCAGCCTCGTCTCTTCTTGACTCTTCGTATTTGTTATATTCATGAGCATCCCTTTCATAAAACAAACCATTCAGACACATGCGGTAGGATCCAAAGCTGGCCGAGGGGAATATGTTTATAAGTTGCTTATGGGAAGAGGCAAAATGTGGGGGAAGGTAGCAGCAGGCTAATTATAAAAAAGATGTTGAGACTCTGGAAAGAGTGCAGAGAAGAGCAACAAAGATGATTAGGGGACTGGAGGCTAAAACATACGAAGAACGGTTGCGGGAATTGGGTGTGTCTAGTTTAATGGAAAAAAGAAGGACTAGGGGGGACATGATAGTAGTATTCCAATATCTCCGGGACTGCCCCAAAGAAGAGCGAGTCAAGCTGTTCTCCAAAGCACCAGAAGAAGGCAGGACAAGAAGCAATGGATGGAAAATGATCAAGGAGAGAAGCAACCTGGAACTAAGGAGAAATTTCCTGACAGAACAATTAACCAGTGGAACAACCTGCCTGCAGAAGTGGTGGGTGCAATGACATTGGAGGTATTTAAGAAGAGACTGGACAACCATTTGTCTGACATGGTATAGGGTTTCCTGCCTGAGCAGGGGGTTGGACTAGAAGACCTCCAAGGTCCCTTCCAACTCTGTTATTCTGCTTCAATGTATGTGCTCATGTTCAGCCTACATTGAGAGATGGCCATGACTTGTCATTCTGGTGCTCCCTGTTGTGCAGAGGCCATCGTGATGTTCAAAAATTGCCTACTATAGGTCAACAGCCATATGCCCTGGGATGTTGTAAAATCTTCCTCCTAATTTCGGAATACTGCTTTCGCATCAGTTTATTATTTTCTGCCTCATCATTGCCCAAGCTTCTCAATTCTCCAGAGCTCGAACAGATGCCAAATTGATAGAGGGGAAAAAAAAATGAAACGGGTCTTGTGTCTCTAAAAATCCAAAGGAGTTTTTTAAAAAAACGACAACAACTCTCCTATACAAACTCCACCCCAATATGCGACATCTACTGTAGTCTCTAAGATACATATTAGATCCAAGATGCTAGTCAACTCCAAAGTGTAAGCAATTTTATACACACACAAACACACAATTCAGTATAACATAGAATCGTAGGATGAAAGGCACCTTCATTCACAAGAAAGGGTCGTACAATTCACCCAATGAATGTCTTGCTTAGCAACAAAAAAATTGGGGCTAGGTTAGGGTGGTAAGTCAGGGAAACGGAAGAAATGAAGTCAACAAACCATGAATAGTCGGGGTTTTATTGCTCTGCACTGGGAAGATAACATCAAGACAATCGGCTCAACGTTAGTGGCGTGGCGGAAAGAGAGAAGGCCGGGCGGGAAATTCGCATGCAAATCAATGGCCGGTCTGTCAATTGCATGAAGCTTCTTTAGGATTGTGAGAGGACATGGAACGAGTAAGTGCTTCTTCCCTGGGGTCAGCATTAGGTGGCTACTTTCTTCGTTTGCCCCTTCAAACATCTCTGGTTTTTCCTTTTCCTTTCTTTTAATTTTTTTTTTTAAATAATTGGAACCGTGTTCTTTCTGCCAGATTCAGTCTGGGTCACGGGATTGGACTGGTGCTGGAGCTCATCGTCAAGATCTCTACCAGAATGTCTGTCTGTCTGTCTGTCTGTCTGTCTGTCTATCTATCTTTCATCTACAGTATCTATCTATCCATCCATCCATCCATCCATCCATCCATCCATCCATCCATCCATCCATCCATCCATCCATCCATCCATCCATCCATCTATCTATCTATCTATCTATCTATCTATCTATCTATCTATCTATCTATCTATCATCTGGTTTAATTCGGTTTAATTCTGGTTTAATTTGGTTTAATTCGGTTTTACAGGGGGGGATTGTATATATGCCTTTGTTTTAAATATGTTGTGAGCCGCCCTGAGTCCCGTTGGGAGAAGGGCGGGATATAAATTAAATTAAATAAATAAATAAATAAATAAATAAATAAATCTATCCATCTATCTATCTATCTATCTATCTATCTATCTATCTATCTATCTATCTATCTATCTATCTATCTATCTATTTATCTATCTATCTATTTATCTATCAACTATCTATCTATCTATATCTATCATCTATCTATCTATCTATCTATCTATCTATCTATCTATCTATCTATCTATCTTTCATCTATCTAGCTTTCATCTATCTATCTAGCTTTCATCTTTCATTCTGGGGCCAAAGTTGCTTCCGGACATGACGCATGCATTCAGCACGGCATGTATATTTGCCTTCATTCGTATTCTTCCTGCGTAGGAATCTTCCATCGTGGCAGCTTTGATTTCCCTCCCAAGGCCAGGGGGGGGAAAAAAATTTTTCCTCCAACTTACCTGCTTTAAAGATCCACTCCAAGTATCCGTTAAGCTCTCTTTCGATCTGCTGCTGTCTTCGTAGTTTCAGGAAAGCTCGCCGGTTTTCAACTCTTTCCCGTTCTTTGGCAAACTCACTGCGGAGAAGAAACAGATGAATTTGAGTGCAACCTTCATCCCAGTGATTCCTTTAACGGCTGTGGCAAGAGAGGTCATACAAATGGGGCAAAACTCACTTAACACATTGTCTCTCTTAGCAACAGGAATGTTAGGCTCCATTGTGGTCATAAATCAAGGGCTAGCTGTATAGGACTCTTTCCTCTGCCTCTGCCATTTCTGAAAATCTGAGAAATACGATTTTCTCTCTTTCTTTGACCCTTTTCTCTCTCTTTTCCTTTCTTTTTCTCCCCACGGCCCCTCCCAAGGGGGCAGGAGGTTGAGCGGAAATGAATTCTCCAGGTGGGGACACTAAAATAGGTCAGGGGAGATAGATGGATTGTGCCTATTGTTGCAGCAGGGGGAAAAAATGATGCCCAGGAAAGGGAGACAGAGTCTCAATGTGTAAAAATATGATTAAAAAAGGGCTTTGTGGCACCCCAAGGCTGTGAAGCCAAGGTCTTTGAAGAAGGACAGAGATTATTAGGGGATTGGAGACTAAAAGATAGGAGGAACGGTTGCAGGATGTGGGTATGGCCAGTCTAGAGAAAAGAAGGACCGGGGAGGCACATGATAGCAGTCTTCCAATATCTCAGGGGCTGCCGCAAAGAAGAGGGGGGTCAACCTCTTCTCCAAAGCGCACAAAGGCAAGACAAGAAGCAACGGATGAAAATTCATCAAAGAGAGATTCAATGGTGGTGAATTCAAGGGATGCTGTTGGTTGCCACAATATAAAAAAGATGTTGAGACTCTGCAAAGAGTGCAGAGAAGAGCAACAAAGATGTTTGGGGGACTGGAGCCTAAAACATATAAAGAACGGTTGCAGGAATTGGGTATGTCTAGTTTGATGAAAAGAAGCACTAGCGGGGACAGGATGGCAGTCTTCCAGTATCTAAGGGGGGCTGCTGGGTCCTCAGTTTATCAACCTCGGAAGGATGGAAGAATGAGTCAATCTTGAGCCGGTTAGGATCAAACTGCTGGCAGTGGGCAGAGTCAGCCTGCAGTACCGCATTCTAACCACTGCGCCACCAGAGCTCCTAATGCAACAGCCGATCAGCTACAGCAAGAGCAACAGCACTCACTTATATACCACTTCATAGTGCTTTACACCCCTCTCTAAGCGGTTTACAGAGCCAGCACATTGCCCCCCCAACCATCTGGGTCCTCACTATACCGGCCTCAGAAGGAGGGAAGGCTGAGTCAACCTTGAGTCGGTTAGGATCGAACTCCAGACTGTGGACAGAGTTAGCCTGCAATACGGCACTCTAACCACCGCGTCACCACGGCTCGTACAGTTAAAACCTACAGTTCCAGAAAGCTGGTCTTGTATCAGATTAGTTCACTGGTCCAGTTAGATCCATGTTGTCTCCTCTGGCAACTTCCTAGCCTTTCAAGCTGAATTATTTCCCACTGTGAAGATGCTGAGAATCAAAACTGGGGCATCGTGCATGCAAATCAAGCACTGTACCTACTGAACTACAGCTGATCTGGTAAAATCTAGGCCACCAGAAGATGCTTTATGTCAAGTAAAAGACGACTAATTTTCAGAGTGACCGGCAAGAACATCTGTAAGGTTTCTGAAAGGTGCTTTTAAAAAAAATAAAGAAAAAAGGCAACGGGACTGTTTTTTATTTGAGGAGGAAGAAGGAAAAATTTCACTTCTTACCCAAGAATCCAAGCTTCATCAATTGTAATTGCTTTTTTTTTTTTTAAGCACCTCTGAAACAACCATGATCTGGATGACTGGGAATCTCCATAGAGGTATGGCGAACGGTTGCAGGAATTGGGTATGTCTAGTCCAGTGACAAGAAGAACTAGGGGTGACAGGATAGCAGTGTTCCAATATTTGAGGGGCTGCAGTAAAGAAGAGGGGGTCCAACTTATTTTCCAAAGCACAAGAAGGCAGGGCAAGAAGCAACGGATGGAAACTGAACGAAGAGAGAAGCAACCTAGAACTAAGGAGAAACTTCCTGACAGTAAGAACAATCAACCAGTGGAATGGCTTGCCACCAGAAGTTGTGGGTGCTTCATCACTGGAGGTTTTTAAGAAGAGATCGTACAGCCGTTTGTCTGAAATGCTATAGGGTCTCCTGCTTGGAGTAGAAGACCTCCAAGGTCCATTCCAGCTCTATTCTGATCGATCGATCCCGTGAAGGATTAGAGTCATATTCTTCTTGACTCATAAGGCTACTTTGAAGAGGATCTGGGCCAAGGAGTAGGTTAGGAAGGTCGTCCTAAGGAAGACTTCTAGGACAGCGGTTCTCAACCTATAGGTCGCGACCCCATTTGGGGTCGATCGACCATTTCACAGGGGTCACCAAGCAAGGCTGTCTGCCATTTTTTTCCCCTTTTCCGGCGGGTGCCTTACCTCCCTTGGGCTGGGCCAGCTGGTGGTCGGCCTGCTCCGTCTCTGCCGCTTGCCAGCTATGCCTCGGCCGGCACAGGGGGCGGAACCACGCATGCGTGGCGCTCCCGGGCAGGGAAAGTCCTCGACTTACGACCGGTTGGGTTGTCCTCGACTTACGACCAGTTTAGTCCTCGACTTACGACCAGTTTAGTCGACTTACGACCGGTTTAGTCCTCGACTTACGACCGGTTGGGGGTCGCGGCATTAAAAAGGTTGAGAACCACTGTTCTAGGAGATCAGCAGGCTGACTTGCTCCCACATCCCTTCCCTGGAAAAAGCCTAGCTTCATACTGCAGTGCCTGCATTATTCATATCAGCTCAGAGGAGCTGAGGAACGGAGAACAAGCTTCCTTCTGCAACTCAACAGCAGCGCGCGAGAACCTAGATTCCCCCCAAGGGGAAAGATCAAAGCAACCCAGAACGTAGAAAGAGACCACGGAGGCAGGGAGGAGACAATGCATTCTTGATGCCATCTGTCTTCAGTAATTGATGCAACATGGTTTTGTAGACCTCCCTCCACTCAACTATGATGAGTCTGATCTTGGCTAGAAAATTGATACTTTATACTCTCTCTAACACTGTTGATGTTACCTGGTTTGGGAATGAAACGTCTGCAAGAAAACAACCAAACTCAGAAAGCACCAAGGACCCCACAGTCCTCCTCCCCCTCCACTCCTCCTCTCCCCATACCCCCCTTCTCTCTAGCACTGATGATGTTACCTAGCTGGGTCATGAAATGTCTGCAGGAAAACCACCACGCTCAGGGAGCACCAAGGACTCCACAGTTGAACCCTGAGCTGCAAATATTCTCTTCTCTCAGCTCTTCTTCCCGGAATGGAGATTGGCCCACCCACCCCGCAAACGCAGGGCAGAAGAGTGAGGAAAGGGGTCCTTACCCTGATAAGACACCAAGGACCAGGTTGAGCATGAAGAAGGAGCCGATGATGATGAGGGGGATGAAGTAAAGCCAGTTCCACATGTTCCCTGCAGCGTCGTTGGTCTGGAAAACAGAGAGGTGGGGTGAGCAGGCATCAAAATCACACCACCAACCCATCCGGAGATGGTGTACAGGCAGCCCTCGACATACGACCGCAAGGGAGCCCCAGATTTTTACCGTCGCTAAGCGAGACATTTGTTCAGGGAATTTCGCCCCATTTTACGACCTTCCTGGCCACTGCTGCTAAGCAAATCACGGCAGTTTGTCAAATTAGTCATGCGGTTGTTCAACAAATCTGGTTTTCCTGTTGACTTTGCTTGTCAGAAGGTCCCAAAAGAGGATCGCGTGACCCCGGGGACGCTGCAACCGTCCTAAGTACATGCCAGTTGCCGAGCCTCCGAATTTTGATCACCTGACCAGGGGGATGCTGCGGACGGTCGCTAAGTCTGAAAAAGGGCCGTAAGTCACTTCTTCCAGTGCCGTGGTCACCTCCAACACTCACTAAATGTTGTGAGTCAAGGACTACCTGTTTCTGGAGGCCGCTGGGAAGACAGGTGTCGTTCCTCATATATTTTAGGCTAGCTATCAATCTCCGTGCGGGTCGCCAGGAGGGGAAAATGACTTGATGGCACATAACCAATCTATCCATTCATCCATCAAAAAAAAAAAGCTGAACAAGAACAATGATATTGCAATTTGCTCCGATGCAAACAGAAACACTCCCGTTTTAGCAAACGTGTGATGTGTTTTTATTTATTTATTTGTTGCCTGAATACTTTCTGCCCAATCAACCAAATCTGTGTTTAAGGCGCTGAAATCCATTTACTCCCACCCCCCGTCACCCCCACCCCCATTAGGGACAACTCCGCTCTCGTGGAAAATGCCGAATTCTTAACGTTTGACTAATTCCTTCCCTTCTCCCCGTCCGTGTAACATTGAAGCCCTAAAAAAAGGCTCCTTAACTCCTGTAAACTGAAGCCAGATGAACAGACCGGGGGCCTCAGAAGCTAGCGGTTAAGTGCAAACAACCAGAGGGCAACATGTAGCCTTCCAGATGTTGGTGAATTTTTTTACTCTCTCTTGGCCATGTCCAACATCTGGAGACTCGCCTGTGGCCTAAGGTGCAAAGACGAAGCAACGGATGGAAATTAATCAAGGAGAGAAGCAAACTAGAGCTAAGGAGGAATTTCCTGACAGTCAGAACAATTAATCGGTGGAACAGCTTGCCTCTAGAAATTGTGGATGCTCCATCATTGGAGGTTTAAGAAGAGATCGGACAACCATTCTTCTGAAATAGTAGAGAGTTTCCGACAGATGAAACTCTTCAAAAGATCTTCGAGGCATTGTTTACCTTAAAGAATCTTTTATTCGAGTAGCATAATATCAGCACTACATAATCGAAGCCAAAGACTGAATTCCCCTCCCCTGGGCACGTAGTATCAAAGCACAATTCCCTCCTCCAATTAACAGTCATAAATCACATTCCCCAATTAGCTTAAAGCGTGGGCTTCCTTTCCAGTTCTCCAGCCTGCCAATTCCTTATCAGCTCTGGTTACAATAACCTTGATTCTCACCCTAAGTTTAGTGTTGTTATGTCTAGCTGGACTCTCATTCACATCCCTCCCCCCTCCCAACATCATCTAACTCTAAAAGCGAAAGGGTAAAAGATGGCTACATTTCCATCTGTTGTCAATGCAAAACATCTGATGTTAGCAGCATTGACAGTTTCTTTGGCTAAGCAGGGGGTTGGACTAGAAGATCTCCAAGGTCCCTTCCAACTCTGTTATTATTTTACACTCTAAGAGAATGTGACATCCATATATTGTTGTTTCCCATTGAGAAATCGAATGTGGGAGACACTCTTCACCTCACTCCAAAGCAAAGGAATAGTGTAGGGTCTCCTGCCTCAGCAGGGGGTTGGACTAGAAGATCTCCAAGGTCCCTTCCAACCTTCCAATTCTGCTATTCTGAGTAAAATCAAGGGAAGGATTGGTGCTCGCCTCCCTAAATACGTCAGGACAAAATTGAGAACAAGGGTGATTTCTCTTGTAAAACAAATAGATCATTTTAATGAAGAAAAGAGAAAGGTAAGCTGAATGTGTGTGACCACGTGGACATGTCGCCACTATCTGGGTATTTTTAGAAAAGAACAACGGTGCTTTTGCATAGAAATAGCTCGATCCAAGTCTTCTTTCTCTGCTTCTGGTTCCCAGCTGCGCAAGGAGGGTACTCAATTTTATTTTATTTTTTTTCCCTCTCCCTACCAGATCTGAATCTGCATGCATTTCCATGAACACTGAAGAATCCTGGAGACTGCCGAGTCAAGGAATAAAGATATTGTGCTGCAAATGTTGCTGCACGCAAAGTCACAAAAGGGAGGCCAAGGATATTAGGAACCTGCAGACGCCAGCTAAATCTCCACTATGTAGAATGAGATGGAAGCTGAAGTCTTATTTTCCAAGTACCAAGCTAGGAGCTACTGTATATAAACAGGGAGCATTTTACACTGCCTATCACTGATGATGTCACCTAGTTGGGTAATGAAATGTCTGCAAGACAACAATCAAGCTCAGAGAACATCAAGGATCCCACAGTTGTCCTGCTCCTCCTCCTCCATTCCACAAACCCCATTCCCTTCTAGCACTAATGATGATACCTACTTGAGTAATGAAACATCTGCAAGAAAACAATCAAGTTCAGAGAACACCAAGGACCCCACAGTTCTTCTCCCCCCCC